GTTTCAACCCATTAAGATCTGATGCATGTACGTCCTATAAGACCAGGCGCAGCATTTCCCTTTAAAGCTCGACTTTTTATGACATCCACGGCATATCAGTGGCATCATCAGAAGGACACCGACGCTGCATCAGCTGTAAAAGGAGAAGCACCTGTCCCACCAGGTCCTGCATACTGGGCGGTGCCGTGCTTTTATAATCACATCACTTTCATCTCTGCGGTGAGACGAGCAGTGAGGAAAGACCTGAAGGAGGAGCAGAGGAGCCAGCTGAGTGGCTGTAGCTCACAACACATCCACCAATCACATGACAGCGTTTGGACCGGAGCCGCAGTTCACATGTGAAAGTGATCAGCAGTGCTGGACCTGACACACACACTCACACACTCTCACACACTCACACACACACTCACACACACACACTTGGCTAAACCTGAATGAGTGGCTGGGAACCTGGAGCAGCAGAACACCTCCAGATCGTTCCACAACCAGAACAGCATTGGCTTCAGGGTGACCAGGCCCAGTGTGTGTCTGCATTCACCTTCACTCACATGTGGACAACAGATGAGTTGTTGGCCATCAGTCACCAGCACAGATTACGGCATAAATCACCAACATACTGCTACTTGAACCTTGGTTTAGGATTCCTACATGGACGTGTTATGCAGTGTGCTTTGCCAACAATCTTCACATTCATAAAAACCCACATTTGCGCTGGGATTTGTCACAGAATCGTGTCTTTTTTCATGCAGGGGTTCGGGTTCGGGTTCTGTTATGTTCAAAGACTCCTAGACAGTCGCTGTCGAGGTATTTCCCAGCTCTGCCAGTCAGAGGGCCAACCTCTGTGCTCTCGCTTCCCAACTTCACCATCCACATGTTTTAGCACAAGGCAACAGAAGCAAGCCGTCAGTCTACCAATCACTCTGCCCCCATCGGCTTCATCATTGTGATGTTGTTGGAACCCATAAGTTCTGTCAGAATGTGTCTGGCAGTGTCTAAGACTTCCACGATCCCATGATGAACGAAGACGAAGCTGTTATTAGCCACTGAGGCTCCGGACTCTCTCTGTTATCTGCCTGAAGGACCACACCCAAAACATCCTAGTTTCAGTGCAGATGAGAAACGAAGCATGTATTTAGACAACCGAGAACAATCCCTCGTCTTTATGCCAAACAGGTGGCGCGGTGTGCGTGGACATATGTGCCTTCCTGCCTGCCAACAACTAGGTGTGGAGTGAAAGCGATGAGAGCATCGCAGATGTTCTGATAGCTCAGTCATTTAAAACATGAACAGAACTGGCAGCTTGTAAGCTCTCAGTTCACATCCAATCGTTGGGGTTACAAGACCTAAATTACATGTTGCCTTCATAGCTAGCGTGAATGATTAGAACGAGTTGGGCAATAACATTCAGGCTCTGGTTTCTGTGTTTGTGCTGAAGGTTTGGCACAATAATGAGATGCTGCACTACATTATCGTGTGCCCCCTAAGAACTGTGGATCTGTAATTTTGGATTCTTTATTGTAATTGGGTGCTGAGATTGTCTCTCTCATATGAGGAAATTGTTTTAGAGCCCTGAGGACAGGTCAGTGCGCTCCATGGTGAAATATGAATACAATACTGGGGCCGCGGTGGAAAAGCAATTTCTTTCTGAGTTTGTGAAGGCTGATGTTTGGAGGCTGTGATGTGACTGACATCCTCACAATGTCCTGGTCTCCACATGGGAGTGATGAAGGGGGTGTCTTCAGCTACACAGCTCACATAGTACATGTATGTAGCTTGGTTTGGAGCAGATCAGAAACTTGGAAAACTAAAAAAGTTCTTACTTATATCAACAGCTGGATGGGAGTCGACGTGGACATCAGCTGACTGTTTAGAACGCTGTGGTCACATGATCAATAAAAACCAGGGACCGAAGCTTGACCCTGCTCGACACAGTCCACAGAACAGGAAGTGAGAGCAGAGGTCTGAATAGTGCATAAAGCAGGTCTGATCTTTCACAGCAACACGTGTGTTTGTGCTGATGTCAGTGAACACGTGTTGCCTCGTCTCTTCCAAGCCATTCAAATAATTCACTGTTTCATGCGTTACTTCCTAAACAGTGCTGAGAGAGGCGGGACTGAAGCTGGATGCTGAAGCAGTGGGACAGAGTTGTCATGTTGGGTCTGCTATTCGGCCCGTTCAGCTCACATGGACGCTGCCTGACAGAGGCTGAAACGTTGCTCTAAAAACTCAGGAGCCTGGAAAATGTTGGTGTGCAGGCAGAACCGCCTTCTCCAAAAACAGGAACTCCAACAGTTCAAATTTAAACAGAAAGTAAGAGGCTGCCTTTTCATACGGGTCACCTCATGGATGTCCAGAGGAATGAGAAGTATTCCTGTAAATCACCAGCTTTATTCTGAACCGGAGTCTTTCCTTCTGTCTGTCGCCGTGTGTGTGTGTGTGTGTGAGTGTGTGTGTGTGTGTGTGTGTGTGCATTTTGTGTGGTTGTGACTTATGTGTAAACAGCTGTGTTCAGTGGACTGAAGCTGATGCTCTGTTGAATATTTTATCTTCCTTTGCAACACAACTGCTTGAACAAACACACACACACACACACACACACACACACACACACACACAGAAGCAAGAAGAAAACCACAGTGTGCTTCTTTCTACACTCAGATGTGCTCTTGTGCTGTTTTCCATTTATAGCTCCAGTCCAGTGACTGGGGAGATGATGTGTTTTCAGGATTATTATCCTCACATCACTTGGTGAGGAGACAATTAAAAACCAGACAAATTTAACAAAATTCACTTGCTCTGAGCCACTGAGGTGTGGAATTATCTTGGTGTGTGGGTGTGTGTGGTGCTGGGATGGTAGCGGGAGCTGTGGCGTTCACGTGAGGTGGGAATGAGCTGTTATGATGTCTGATGCAGGGATTACATCCAGAGGCAAACATCTGGCACGCAGACAGCCAGACCAGCAGCCCAGCAGCCAAACCGTCTCCATGTTGATCTTTGCTGCCATCACAGGGATGATGGACGTGATGCTGTGAGGTGCAAACCCTGGTATGGACAGAATGACGGCGTGCTGGTGCCGTCACCCAGGCTGACTGGACGTATTAGCCACATGCTTTATGTCCAGGTCTGCGCGCCGCCGCTACGTTATGGTGCATATTTAACATTCTGCTCACTGCCAGTCACCTGAAATGAAAACAGGAAGTTTCCACCAGGAAACCATTTCACCCTCTCATTAAGGACTCTGTTAAGTGGGAGAGTAGTTAAATTAAATTATGTTTGGAACCACAGCATTGGGAAATGGGAAAAGCATTAAACAGATGTAGACAGAGTGAAAGGGTTTTAACTGCATATACAATACCCTCTCTTTACTGAAGGAAAGCCTTTACTATAACTAATAGATCAAATATTCTGTTTTCTACTGACTACAACACTTTTGTAGCTGATATATAAAACAAATAAACCTCTATGTAACCTAAAAACAACCAGACAACCCACTTGTCCTTCACAGTTAGATTCTTCTCCAAGCTAAAGTGTTTTTTGCCTCATTTTAAGTCACCTTTTAATGACGCTAAATAATGTGTTCTGTGTGAGTTTTCTGTCAGATCTGTCCCTGGTAACTGGCTAAAAGCTGTACAACGGTCCAGGTTGCCCCTTCTGTCCCCATCATCGGCAGCCTCCTGGTTCGGCCTGACACATCTGGGATGTACTGTTCCCTTTGGGCGCTCCCTCTCTCCGCCTCACACACACACTCACAGGAGTCCAGAAATACACAGGTGTAGCCCACAGCCCACTTCATGTCCACTGGGAGCAGGTACGTGTCATTTCCTGTACTTGTCTTCACCTGTCACATGACACAAGCGGACTGAAGCAGGACGATCTGATGGCACACGAGGGAGCGGAGAGGACGTAGGCCATGAAAACAGCGTTTGTAACGGGCCCTTTTCCAACAAGCGCAGGTCTCGTTAGGAACACATAAGTGCAGTTATTATTTCTATATCTAATTATGATGACTATATGATGACTGTATTTCAGCTCTAATTATTTCACAATGCAGCAAAAGGTATTAAGAAAAACACCACATCGCTAGTGACGAGCTATCCGTCGTTTTTACTGGCCTTGCAGCTGAATTTATGCAGCACATTATTATTGCCAAAGTTAAGTCATAAATGTGACCAGACTTGCACAATGGCCTGCTTTATTTCTAAAATTGTTTCACGGCTGAGAAACAATTGCCACAGCTAACAAGATCCATACCGCAGCACTGTTTGATAAAACAGCACCACACAGCACCATCGGCCCACTCACGCTGCATCACCGCTCCTTATTGCCAACTGTTGACACTAATCTTTACCCAGACAAACAGATCAAATGCACCGCTGAAACAGGAACACTGATATTTTCTTAATCTTTAACCCACTGATCAGGGACTGATCATGAATACCAAACTTCAGCGGACCGTGTGCTGCAACTAATCCTTCACAACACACCAGCTACATGTTGCTCACGTCACACGCTGTGCACACAACAAAGCACACAGCTGGCCCGTTAGCCACAGTCCCATGACCTAGACACGCTAATCCTGGTCCAGACATGTTGAGAAACCTCCTATGGAGCAAGACCATTAACTTTTACCGCTATTATACGTACAGAAGGCACGTCAGCAATAATATGCACAGGCACACACACACACACACACACACACTGATGTTGTGTTTGCAGATCCGGCGGGATGTGGATCATGTGCAGAAGTCTCACAACGCTTTATGGTTGTGTGATGATGTGAGGCTGCTCTGATCACAGCTGCTGGATAGTTGGGCTTAACTACGTAGCCTTTGTATTGTCTAATGTGTTTGATAAACAAAGGAAGGCCCTGCTCCTCTAAATCTGTACATTTATCTCATCCTGTGTGTGTGTGAGCTCATCGTTCATGGCTTCATGGCTTCTGTGTGTGTTGAAGTGCATGTCTTGGCCTGGAAGCGCAGGTAGCCTGCTGTTGTTCTTACCGGGCAGGTCACAGCCCAGGATCTCCATCCTCATGCCGATTCCAGCAGGCGACCACCTCTCTGGAAACACTCTGATGTGCTGGGCAACTATCTCATCAAACCTCCGCACCTCTGGGGTATCGTAGTGGCTGTTGCCCTCAAAAATCTGACAACAGAGATGGAGATGATTAGAGCTGTTTTCTGATTCTCATTTTGTAACAGTGCAACAGAGTAAAAGTGGCCCGCTGCTGTAGAAAGAGCACTTTCTCCTTTACATGTGCCATCATGTGTTTGTGCTAATTCATGCCTCCTCCACTGGAAGACGGCTTCTGTCTAAGGTAGAGTTTTACCAAAGACAAGCTCTGCCTTGTGCTCATGCTACATATCAGAATGAATCAGTTGTTACAAGCCTGTCATGGTATCAGGCACTGAGACTGAGTTTTCTAAAACAATGCAGAAACCTGTAAAAGCAGCAGAGGCAGTAAAATGTGTAGTTCTGCCATCCCATCCCATCCCTCTCAAGTCTCTGTGAAAAACAAGTGTAAAGTGGCGAGCCTGTGTGCAGCCGTACAGCTCAGCTCATCAGCGTTGTTTCCCGCTTCACTCTGACATGTGTCATAAAAATAACAACAGAGAGCAGCTTACCTTTGATTTTCAAATAATGTTTGAGGCAGCGGCAGCCTCTGGCAGACACAGGATTTATTACACGCTTAAAACTGACTAGACTGCAGCAGCCCTCTGAAATGTGGGCTATGAAAGTTGTGCTATTGGTTTCGTTAATTGAACTGTATTTTCTGTCTTCCCCATTTCTAGAATTAAAAAAAAAAACGTATGATGAATTTCCCAGGATGCTCATTTAAAACGACAGGCAGATGAGAGGGAACAGGATTTTAGCATCAGGAGAAAATCCAGGCGCTCAGTAGTACTATTAAAGCATTTTAAGACATCGCCTCAGAAAGGAGAACAAAGTTTAGAGTGGCCTGTCTCAGAGCGTCGGACTGCCAGCGGAGCTGAGTGCTGATGCAGGAAAGACATTTTTAATTAACACCCATGAGAGACAAACAGAGGATGAGCGAACAAGAGGATGAGAGACGGAGGAAAGCGGAGAGTACATAGAGAGGCAAAGGCAGAGCAGGAGAATGAGGAGTGAGGTGATTAAATTGAATTATTATCAGACCTGAGGCTGTAATAAAACGGCTTTTTTGTTAAACATGACAAGAATGAGCGAGAGAGAGAGAAGGGGCAATGAAAGAGAAGGAGAGCATGGGAGACCGCAGAGAGACAGCTATAAATAAAGAACAAATGAGGAGAGCTGACAGTCAGAGGATGGAGGGAACATGTGTCAGACAGACAGAGTATTTCTGTGTGTTCGTCCTCCTTTACCTTCGCAAACCCAGTCTTGCTGTCGGTGATGTAGCTCCAGTCTTTGCCGGTCAAGCTGTGCGCCAGTTTGTACTTTCTGACAAATGCTCTGTTCTCAGCGCTGGTGCTGCCCTCCAGCCCTCTTGCACCCTGGGTAATAATGCCACGCACCATCTTGGGCACACCGAGGTCCACCTGCAGCCCAGCAAAACACAAGTATTATTGTTGGCTCCCTCTCTGCACCACGGAACCGATCAATGTCCACATCCCCTGGCTGCTGCAGCTGTGACTCCAGCCAGCACACCATCAATCAAAGGCTGGTTTTCCACCCGCCATCTCTAAACATGTTGGAGGCTTTGGAGCTTGATTCTTCTTTGCATTTCTCACTCAGTTTACTCATGCAGCCTGTTGCTTCTGGTGCGCTGAGATGTTTCAGAGCAGGTCCACTCACTCTGCTTGCTCAGTTCATGTCATTGCTACAAATTTAATGCTTATTTTTGTGTGTTCTGATGCACACAAGTAAAATGGACCCAAACGTCAGCCCTCATCTCCAGCTACAGCCTGTGGGCATGCTGTAATAACAGAAACAAGCTCTCTCTACAGGCACGGCCACAAACCTGAAGCCACTCCTCTCCAGCGATGGGCTGCGTCGGGTTTGGAAACCAGCCGGACCGACTGGCCACCAGCCTGGCTGCCCCCATGGAGCCGTGGATGTCCCTCATGGAGGATGCAGAGATCTGGGAGTCCGGGAGCAGCCCAGACAACATGCCTTGCAGCTCTGAGCACGGAGCATCTGAACAGGAGAAAGGAATGAGAACGCCTGTCATTTCCTAAAGCATGGAACACAGGTTTAGATGTTTTCTGAAGCTGAAGGTGGGGAAGCTGAGATGTGGGTATGTTGTAGGGTCGTGCAATCAGCAAACAGCAGAACTCTTGATGCCTTTCACTTCTTTTTGGCAGATCTGTAATAATGTAGCTGAGGAACCTCGGTCTGGGTGCCTCAAAGATCACAGCAGCATTCAGCAACTGACAAGCAGCCAAGAAGCTTTTATGAACCACGCTGTCAGCACCGACCCAAAACACCACGGGATTAGTGTCAAGTGGTTCGTTTCTTGAATGGCAAAGACTTCTAATGTTAGTAAATCTGAGTTAAACACAGACAGAACACAGCATAAAAAACAGACGTATGGGAGAGTTTCTGAATCAGGAGATCCCAGGTAGTCCCGGTCCCATGAGAACAGGGCGACGGGCCTCTTTCAGGGAGGAAATGTGCTTCTTCAAAACGTGAATGAGACAGTAATGTAGCTGCACTGGAACGTCGTCTCTGTGAAACAGGGTCGGACGGCTTGTAATCAGAAGGTAAAAACACGCTGCAGTCATTATTCTTCAAAAGCTGTTGAGCTTTCTCTGAATGAATCCAGTGTGGCTGGATGGGAAACATCTCATACATCCTCCATGAAGACTTCTCCTACTTGTGCCTCCAGGTCTGGAATAACCTGTGTCACTGTTTGATCTCATCTTGGAGCAAAATTCTTGTGTGATTGTGACACGAATTGTTAAAGCGACGGTTGTGTTGCACTCGGCAGCCCGTCTGAGCTGCTTTCCATCAAACCACTTCATTATTTCTCTTTCCTGCTGCTGCAGCGTTGATGCATAACTCCAACCAAGATACCAACGGGGATTCTTGGGGGGGAATTGAGCAAGAAAACTCCCAAATGGAAGAAGAAAATGAAAGCATGCTGCAGATCAAAGAGCAACGTGTTTGAGCCTCAGAATATGGGAGTGCCATAGGACCAAACCAAAGAAGTGACCATCTGCATCTAGAAATGAAACAATGATTGGGAGGGAAAAAAGAGGTGTAAACAGAAGACGTGAGGGAGGAAGAAGAAAGACAAGAGGAGGAAAAAACAAGACAAAAGGTGAGGAAGGGGAGTTAAAGGACAAGGGGGAGATAAAGAGATAGACGAAAGGTCAAACAAAGACGGGCTGAAAAGACTGCGAGTGAATAGAAAGGGTGAGAGAGGCAGAGAGAGAGCGGGCTGACAGCGAGGTGACGGTGATTGATGGTGACATTCTTCAGGTCTTCATGGAGATGAATGTTTAATGCCGTGACGTTTGCAACTGTGCCCCAGTACGGTAAATAATGGATCAACAACAAACAACAACAGCTCCAGCCAGGCTCCCTCAAGCTCCACAACAGAAGCTAAACCTGATTAGCCACAAGAAAATTCTATTATTGTATTGTTTATTTTATGTTTTTTTAATTTCCATCTGCGTAATTCAGCAGCTAGCGGCTCTGGCAGGCCTTTGAATGCAGGAGTGCAGTGGGAGTGGATGAGAAGATCATCTCCACAGTCCATAACAGAAATAGTTCGATATTACACACCAGCATGAGAGCTCTTAAACTCGCACAAAGCGATACGTACACATAGCAGTCGAACAGTCAAGGCCTCACTACCTCTCACACACGGCATGCTCTGGTGTTTCGCCCACACATGGACAAACACACACTCCCACTGCTCTTTCCTGATAACACAGCAGCGCTAAAGCACACCTCTGAGCCGGCCGACACATGCACGGTTTGACAAACACACACACACTCCAGCAGCCTGGTGAGGAGGAAAAACCCAGTAAAAATAAATGATGGATAAGTGCTGCAGCGCCGAAATAAAACCAGATTAAGGAAGAAGTGATGGAAAGAGGAAGAGTAGAAGGAGGCAGGGAAGATTTAAGGAAATAGAGGGAGAGGAGAAAATGAAAGAGGTGGAAGAGAAAAGCAGGAACGGAGGCTGTCAGCAAAGAGTAGAATGAGTAGGGAGGAAAACAGGGCGGCAGTGGAGAGAGATAGGTAGGAAGTGAGGAAAAAGACGAGCAGGAGGCATAAAAGTGTGATTTAAGTTAATGACATGTCACTGGCTGACTGCTTTATGTCTGCCTTTATAGGCTGTGTGGGGCATTACCACGTTTCCCCCGGCGGTGTGCTGCTCGTGTCTCCGTCTGCATGTCTATGTGCAGGGACACAAACAGAGACCACGCTGCCTGCTGGCTATTAGCGGGCATGTTTGCTTACAAACTTGTTTTTTTGCTGCACGTTATGGACGTATTTTACTGAAACTGCAGCAGAACAGTTTGTTTCCCCCCCGCGCCGCTAAAGCACCAAACTGAAGGAAAGGCGAGCTCGTCGGAGGCCGTCAACGTTTTGCATATAAAGTCGGTGTTTTCCTCAGGCCAGTGACGGATTGCAGAAATCACAAGGAGGCAGAGACGGACGATAGAGAAACGGGCAGAAAAAGAGAAAAGCGTTGAATGTGTTCTCAGTGCAGAGGGGTGAGAAAAGCAGGGTGACTGATAATGCAGGTGTTGGAGTAAAAAACAGGCAATCGGTGCACAAGAACACAGGCAAGAAAGCTGATGTATTCATCACACACACACACACACAGCAGCATTATATTGTTTGGGTGTGATTGTGATTTGTGTGGGTGCTGAAATAGCCCTCCTGGATAAGAGCATATCTGTCCCTCTCAATGGCCGCTACGATGGCAGCAGAGAGAGGCCCTAACCTAATAATGATACAGTGGAGCTGGAACACACACACACAAATGGCCTGAAAGTCTCTTTTACCATTTCTATACACACAGACACACACTCAAACACAGACGGTCTAATTAAGTTTTATCTATTTATAGTATTGAGCTGATTATGCTGGTTGAAATCGTGTTTGTTTGCCAGGGCTGCAGATGAAAGCTGAGAGCCTGTTACTCTCTGATGTTATCACCCACACATCACACTCTAGTATTATTCTATTAGGACTGAGTGTGTGTGTGTGTGTGAGTGTGTGTGAGTGTGAGTGTGTGTGAGTGGGAGACAGAGAAGGGGGATGTGTATATGAAAGAGCAAGGGCAGGAGTGTGAGTGCACATGAGAGTGGGTGTGTTGTGTGCATGTGAAAGAGGGAAATGGAGGAAAGCATGAACAGAGTTATGAATAGGACACATGATAGCCTTATTCATCATCTCTAGAAGTGGAAAAGAAGAAGACACTGCCACATTCGCCCATTCTTTTTCAGGAAGTGATTTTTAAGGGAGTTGTTTTTTGGCCTGACCCAGCTTCTGACCCGGTGTCGGCGCCGGTGTATCAGCAGAACGACGCCTGGTGTCACTGAAACCCCATGAAAGCCTGAGAAACTGCAGAAAAAGACACTTTGTCGTTCTTACCTGTAATCTGACAGCCGTAAAGCTCGAAACGCAGCGCGATGCCGTTCTTCCATGTCTGAGGTCTGATTCGTACAAAGCGGGCCAGGACCGGCTGTGGGATCCGATTGAGGACCACCTCCGTGGCATCGGTGTTAGCATGGAAAACCTGAAGACCAAAAGGAAAAGAGACATTTACTGAGACATGCGGCGCTGTGCAGGAAGAGCGGAGGGAGAGGCAGCAGAACCCCGGAGCTCAGGCCGGATCGGGACAGAACCTGATAGCACTGAGTCACAGAGCAGCACCACGTGTGCTGCTCCTGTATACGACATGTGCAGCGTTTAAAGGAAAAAGCAAAGACAGCAGAGCGAAGCCCCATAAGGTTCCTGGACAGCCGTCAAACCGGATCCACAATAAACCTCCATTAAACGGATTTACACAAAACAATGCATCCTAATGACTCTGGGTTTGTCGTGCCACCATGAGGTTCACATTTGTGGTTTATTCAACACAGTTTCTCAACCGTTACTGGATGGTTTGCCCTGGAACGTTCCAGCTCCAGTCTGTCTTAAAGGCCTGATTGTTCCACATGATCCCTACAGAGAACTTTCTCTCAAAGTGCAGACCTACGTGTGCTTCCTACAGTTTCCAAAAGCAGAATGAGCTATCAGGCCCCTTCAGCTATGAAATCAGCTCCCAGAGTGGGCTCAGGAGTCCAACCGCCTCCCTACTTATAGGTTTAGGCTTAAACTTTCCTTCTTAATAAAGCTTAGCGCTGTGGCTGCCTCAGGTGACCCTGAACCATCGCTGTAGGTCTAGTCTGCTGGAGGACTTCCCATGAGCAGCTCTTCTCTACATCCTCCGCTTCTCTCTCCATACATTGGTACATATGCGCCCTGCGGGTCATGGACTTGGTGTCCTCTCTCTCCCGTGGTTCGTGTTTTGTCCTCTCTGCAGGTATTTGGCTGCCGAGCTGCACGTCTGATCTGCTGTGAACCTCCCGCCGGTGATTGTTGTCTGAAGTGTTGCTTCTCTCTGCATCCTGTTCTCGCTCCGCTGTCCCAGCCGGTCGAGGAAGAGGTCCACCTTCCCTGAGCCTGGTTCTGCTGGAGTTCTCTGATTGCTGAAGGGCGGTTTTTCTTCTCACACTAAAGCTTCTTCAGAAGGAACCTTGTTGGGTTTGTCTTTAGAAAACCTTTGTCTTCACTCAGACTTCTCTGACGACGTTAAGTGGAATGACGTGTGTTGTTGAGTTCTGGTGGTATCCGGTCCAACAACATGTGATAGAAATGGATCAGTCTTATGTCTGTGAGCATGAAGGTGAGGTCAGACCCATTCCCATAAAAACATAACAGATGGCGGCTGGCGTGACCCGGTCCACTGGTATTATTCCAGATAACACAGTTTAACAAGAGTCAAACTGACCACGGAGCAGCGCTTCACCTCCATCAAGTACCAGCACTAAATGTACAACACAAACACACTGTTCACCAAGGAAGGAGTGAGTGCACACACTCACACACAGTCTGAGGGCATGCAGTGTGCAATAAATCCAGGGTGTAAGTATGTGGGAGAACATCCTCTTCTCACGTCCTCTTGACTCAGCCACACACAGGAAAACATCTTTCCTCCTTCACGCAGAGTGCAGAGTGCCGTCACCCCTCGATGCACAAACACACACAAGATATTCACGAGCAGACACAAGCGCTGCACACACTGAGCTCCTACACTCCCGCCATGTGCACTCAGAACGACTTCCTCTGAAAACGCACACAAACACAGATAAAAGGAAAGTGAATGGCAGTGCACATGGCCAGAAGCCATCTTTTTGTCTCTTCACATCAAGACTTTCTATCTGTGTCTATCTGACAGTGTCATGTCTGCCTGTGTTTCTCTCCGACAGTCATCTCGCTGGGCTCTCCACAGGAGCACACAGCTGGGCTTCTGCTCTGATCCTCCTCATCTCCCTGACTCTCCTCCTCCTCCTC